AAATAATTAGGGTTTTCTGGTATTTGCAAAAATTCCTGAGTTACAGTTTGAATAAATAAAAGTTATAGCCGTATTTGAAATCCTTGTGAAATTCTGAGTGAAACTGTATATTTACTTTTTTTTATTTGGTTCCAAAATAAGAAAACATGATTTCACCATTGATGGTGGTCGAGAGGTTGAAGATGAAGCTTCCTGGGGTGAAAATTTGAATTTAAATGTTGTCTTATTATATATTTCATTGTTTATGTTTTTTTTTTGAATTGGCATTCCGCCTCAGTGGTTAACACGTTGGTTTTATGTAAAGCGAGTATAAGGGCCTAAGTTCGATCCCCCCGTGGCACCTTTTGTTTTGTTCATTTTTTGCATTATTCACTTAGAACCTTTCTTAGTCTTTTATTAAGTGGTTGTGTTATATCAACACCATGTAGCGCATGGTTTAGTGGCTTATGTTTTGGGCTGTGAACCTCAAGGTCATGGGTTCAACACCCCTTGACCACCATCCTTCTTTTTTTTACCACTTGTTTTCTTTATTTCTTTTTCTTTTTGTCTCCTTTTATTTTAGTTGATTTTTTTATTTTCTCTTTTTTATTTTTATTTATCAAGTTAATACTAAAAAAACACTAAAATATTTTCTTTATTTAATCATGCTTTGATTTTATTTTTTCTTTAATATGTTAATTAATTAAAAATAACCAAAAATAGTTTCTTTATTTTAATTTGATTAACTCTTGACGTTTCTTTTACTAGACCTTTGTGAATTGGTTTTTTAAATGATTCTATTGATGCCATGATGCCTTGATATGTTTACTTGAGCATGATTTATTTTGAACACTTATACCATGATTAATTGTTACTCCTTTGGAAATGTCTTGTTTAAGTGATTGTTATCTCAAAAAATTTCCTCCCATCTTTGAGACAAATTGATTCAAGACACATCCATATGCTCATAGGAGTCTTAAGTACTCAAGATTACTCAAGGGTTGACCAGACAAACCCTCATCCTAAGCAATTGACCTACAACTAGGGTTTTGCTTATCTCAAAGGAAATTGAGTTTCTAATGACTCAAGTGGACTTCATGGTTTCTCATATGTCTCAAAGTACCCTTATTCCAAATTTCAAGCCTTACATCACAAGTTTGCTCAATCAATTAGCCAGATGATTGAAAATCAATTGTATTGAACAAAAAGTCAACATAGATAATTTGATAGTCAAACTTCATCATCTTGGTCAACATCAATATTTTGAAGTAACATTCATCATTTGATCAAGTTTTGGTCATGATTCATCAAGAAAACTCAAGATTCATCAAAAGTCAAAAGTTACTAAATTAGGGTTTTCTTAAGGAGAAGTCAACTGAACTTTGACCAAGCACAACTTTTGCATACTTCATCATAAATTCCTCAACCAAAGCTCATTTTAAATGAAATTAAATTCTATACAACTTTGCTTCTCTAAGCTTAAGGCTAAAAATGCTTCATTTGAGAGATATGAGCCAAAAAATTACAGGTCATTTTAAAAGTTAACAAAAAGACATTTTTTGTCAAAGCAATTTACATGAAGATCAAGGCTTTAAATGAAAAAAATGGTCAACATGAAAGTTGTAGGGGAAATTTTGAGCTTTCCAAAGAATCAAAGATCACCTTCATATGACAAAAATTGAGAAAGTTATGAGTTGTGCTTGTCGAGTAATTTTTAAGAAAATGTATGAAGTCCAAATTGAGCAAACTTGAAATTTTGGACTATTGGACCTATCTTTTAAGGTCTAAATATGTTCATGACCTTATAAAGAACCCCTAAATCCACTCACATATTTTTTATGATTTTTATTTCTTTTATTTGGATTTTGTTCATTTAAATGCAAATTAAATCAAATCAAATATGAAAGCGTTGGACTTAGGCATGTGGACTTTTGTTTTGATCAAATTGGAGGCCTAAAAAGCTCATGACAACTTGCCAAAACCGTGTGAGGCTGATTGGCTCAAGATTGAGCTTAAAAAAGAAAATTTTCATGCAAATTCTAAATCAAATATTACACTATGAATTACAAAGATTTTGTCCACTTTTGTTGATCTAATTCTTCTCATATAAATACACAATACCTTCAGCCATTCAAAAACATGCATGCTGCAGCTATAGACAAACCCTAAAGTTCACAAATTTTCTCAAAACTAGGGCACAATCAAACCATTATCTCCAGCCATTCGCAATCGATTTCAAGTATCAAATCACCCTCCTGAGACCTTCGGGAGTCGTTCCATGTCCTTACTCAAGCTTGAAGCACGCCAGAACATCACATCTCAACTGCACCGGTTTGGTAACCTTCTTTAATTTCATACTTTTAATATACGCATTGTTGAATTATTTGATGCATACATTCATGTTCATATTGATGTTTGGAACAATTTTTACGCATTATTTGTGAGGTTTGATGCAGGAACGAAGATCTTCCATTGTTAGGGCAGTTTGAAATATTTTCATCTAATCTCACGCTACATGCATTTTCAGGTCCAACCAATGCTGCCATTGAATTCGCAAGGGTCAAATTAGGGGGATAAGGTCCCTGTTATGATATAACTCACGCGTTTTTGCAGGATTTCAAAACCCCTTCATCGGAGAAGATGAAGTTGACCACCCTCCACGGTGGTTTGACTCTCCTGAATCAGGTGACCTAGGCGTGTCACCATGCCATTGGCTCATTCAAAATTTCTAGGCCCCACCTCCTACGAGCGTTTTGTGTTTTATTTGATTTCTGATTTTAATACCTATGTTTACTATATAATGTTTATTTATCATGTTATGAACGCGTAACAATTGAAGGACGAGTGGTAAGTGTGATGTGCGTTAACCATAGAGGCGTGGGTTCGATCCCTCCTCTTGTCAAATAATTTTGCTTTTTTTAAGATAACACGCAGGTTTATAATAAATTGATTGGTTCATATTCCATATCACAAACAACAACATGACACAGTGGATAAAAGGGCATACCTTTGGAATCAAGGGGGTGGGTTCAACTCCCACCCCATGCATTTTGTTTTTTCTTATTTTACTAACCCTAGTTTTCACTCTATTTTACTAATTACTTTTTAATATCCATTAATAAACCTTAAACTTTTTTTCAAAACCATAACAAATTAGGATTAGGTTTTTTTAATTAGTAATTACATTTTTGACATATTTTTATTTATTAATTAATTGGTTAATTGACCTTTTCTTAATATTAAAATTAATTAGAATTAGGTTTTAATTACTATTATTATTTTCTACAAAAAAACACCAAAAATATATTTTTCTAACATATAGAATTTTTAGGGTATTTAACATTTTTCTAACATTCTTTTTCTCATCTTTTGCTATTTAAAGTCATGGATCAAATATATAGATCGCATTCTCAAATGTAATAGTGAGATTTATTTTTTCGCATTTTTTTCCTATTATGTATCTGCTCTGAGGATGTAATGGCGTAGATTTACTTTTCCGCAAATTTATATACTTATGTATCTCTCCCAAAGCCATGCAATAGCGTAGGTGTCATATCCCAAATTTGTCCGCCTTAGTGTTACTGTCAAATTTATTTTCGAACTTGGATTTTACAGAGTATAAAATTTCTCTGATTTAATTATATTAATATTCTGAGGGTTTTTTTAATAAAAATTCACTTTCAAGTCTGTTTGAAAATATAATAATTATTTATATTTTTAAATAACAAATAATCGTTCGCCTTCATATACATTTATTTGACTTTTTACTTTCGAATAAATAACATAGCAAAGTTGATAAGGGATATATTTTTGTTGTTTATTGTTACTAACTTTATTTTTCATTTCTCTAACCACAAAAATCATATTTTTTTATTATTAAATTATTATTTTCGTTTTTATTTATTTGTTATATTATAAAAATATTATTTTTTATTAAAATATTTATTTTATTTAAAAAAGAGTCAAAATACTTTATAAATAAATTTGGACTTTGGGTATTGAATAATTTCCCTTTTTGAGGTGTCTTTAAACTAATTTCCACTCTATAAGTAGATATCCTCATGGTCCTAATTTTTCATCCGAAAATATCCAGAAAATCGACAATCATTCACAAACACATAATTCTAGGATTGTTGACTATATCAGACAACAGTCTAAAAACAATCTCTCACAACTTGCAATTTTACAAACACTTACAATTTTTCAACCTTATTTTCAAAACATCTTTTCAAAAATTAATTTGACCGATGATTCATTACGAGGCTTCCTCCCTAATATTTTTAACTCTTTTTATTTTCAATTTATTAACTGTTATTTGTCTGTCATTACTTATTTTCAAAGACCAATTTTATTCACCGTAAACCTCTCACAAAACTCTAGTCACGTACAACATTATTTTTACACAATCCCCACGAATTCACACTAGCTTTTATCCACTGATTGCACATAATTCACAAGCACATTTTCTTTTTTTCACTTACAAACCTTTTTCTCTCATTTGCACTGTAAATCTCTAAAGTGACTTACAAATGCTATTTCTTTGGTCAAACACAGGACCATATTTTTACCTCTGCTTTCACGTAAAATCAACTTCACTACCATGTACATACTTTTGTTTCACATTAACATAACCTTGTTATACCCTGCATAATTCATAGTTTCATATTTTTCAAACCTGCAATACCATCAATGAGTCTTCCATTCATTCAAAAACACAATCAACATCTAACCTGACTACGCTTCATGAATACAACAAGCTATAACTAACAACATCACACATATATAATTCACAATCTCACATGAATATTTGTTTTTTATCACTATTTTTTTCGGCACATTGATAACAGGTTTCAAGCTCAGTAAAGCAACAGTTAACAGCAACAAACAAATTTCAGTATTAAAAGAAGATGAAAGCATAGAGATAAATCATTCTACAACCGACAATGCCCCGAAGACCCACACTTCAGACCGTACCCCCCGACAACCGGATGTCATCGCGGACTCCGCATGCCTCCTCCAAATCACAGCAGATTCGCTCCACCAACCATCGCTCGCCGTCGAATTCTCAGTTCTTCACACCTTCGACCTCCGACCTGCACACCAATAGCAACCCCCGATATCATAATCTTGTTAGCCCTACTATATTATGCTGTGTGTTTTTGTTTTGCAGAAGGAAAATAAAAGAAGAACAACAACAGCAACCCAACGTCCAGAACCGAGATCGACGATAACGCCTTCAGCTTCCAAACCCACGCACATCCATAGTAAGGCGACCGCGCTGCTCCAATCTTGCCACCTCCAATCTCCTCCTCGCGCGCACACCCCCAAAAATCTTACGCACACGGACCACCGGCTCGCACTCCTTCCGCTTGCCACCGTAGATCCGACTGCAGTGGATCTGCAACCTTCGTCGACCGCACAGCTACAGAGTCCAACCATCGCATTGTTCACCCATTCATCGCGAAACCGCGCATCACTCCAACATCGCCGCCATGCAATATGTTTCCTTCTCTACTTTTAACCGATTTTGATTTGTTTTGTTATCACAGGTTTTTTTGGGTTTTTGAAGTTTGAAGATTAAAGAGAAGGAGATGAGAGTATTGGGGTTACGGTGGAGGAAAGGAAAAAGAGATTTGCAACTTGAGTCTTTATTATTTTGTTTCTTTGTTCTTTTATTTTTGCAAATAAAGATTGCCACGTGTCAGTGTGTGAGTGGAGGGAGGCATAAGTTTGAAAATTCAACTCCCTTATCTTTCTTCAATCGGCGCCGTTTACAATCCTTGTGAGTTTTTTTTCCTTTTTTTAATAATTTTCTTGTTATATAAAGTAGGTTTTAGTGGTTTGGGGTTTGGGCCTAAAATTCCACCATTTTTGCTAATTCAGCATTCTTTTACTTATGCACCCTTTCTTTTTAATGTAAATTTAATTATTTCTTTTTACTTGTTTAAATTAGTTAACTTAATTTATCTAATTTGTTAGTCTAGTTTTTATTGTATAAAATACAACAATAATAATAAGGATAAAAAAAATTTCCTTGCATTAATTCGAGTCTCTTTCATAAATTGAATTGATTAATGTTTTATAAAAAAAATCATGCAATTCACCAATAAGCGACACGTGGTCAATATTTGGCCACGTGATGAGGAAGGCTATATCATACTTCCTCTGAATCCTTCATATCAAGCAACACGTGGTCAATATATGGCCCCGTGATGAGAACACGTGAGGAGGAGACTATATCAAACTTCCCCGCTCCACGTCTTAATCAAATCAAATACCAAAATAACTAACCAATTACAAAATATTTTTTCTACTAACATAATCGAAACTCAAGATTATTTTCGAAAAAGGATTAAGGAGAATTATTTTCAAATTAACTGCGAACTGCATCTACGATCACTCAGCTTACAACCCAGACAAAGTTTAAGGATAATTCGAAAGCAATTCTATGCAATATTATAAAAAACACCAACCAAACACTATGAACTAAGAATTGGGACTCTGATTCCTCCTAAGAGGATACGTAGGCATACAACTAAAGTCGTGGTGAGTTTCCCTAATTAAAAAACAAATCCTCTTCCTAAAAAATGTGCTTCTAAATCTCAGTATCCTTGTGAACAATGTAGATGAAAGGTGCCTAACACCTTCCCTTCGTCTAAAACCGAGTCTGAAATCTAGAATCTCTGTAACTTTTAGGGTTATTCCTTTATACTCATTTCCTTAGGATAAAAATTAAGGGTGGCGACTCTGATTAAAAAACCAGTTGCAACAGTAAGAACTTTACATTCCGCACTTTAATTTTCTGTACATATTTAATTTCTAGTAAAGTAGGGTTTGTATGGCAAGACTAAAAGAAAATCTAGAAAATCCTAATTTAAGACTAAATAACTGAAACTAATACACTTTGCAAACTTCACCTCTAGGGTAACCTCTCTTGTTTCCTTACGATACAATTGGTCACGTCCCTCGAAAGTAGGGATACTTTAGAAAAAGACCCTCGATCAAATCATCATGGTCCCTTTCGAATAAAGGTCATAATCCCTCGATGACCCTTCGAGTTGCCTACAAAATGATCTAGTCCATTTGATGACCCTACAAGCAAAATGATGATACTCCCTTTGATACAATTGTTAAAGTATCCTTACACGTTACCTTCGATGACCATATGATGACCCTACGTTTATCCCTTCACATCCAGTAGATAGGATTACCTATCAACTAATGGTATGGATAATACTATCTCCAAAGGAGAAGGAAAATAACAATAAAGACCTTATTAATGGATAAGACTCATAGTTGCTTGCTCACAACATGTTCAGATATCACATTTTCAAACAACAAATATTTTCTAAAACACTTTGTATACATTCTTGAGGACCGACACAAGGATTATTACAAAGTAAGACTTACATTGGTATTTCAAAATATTTTCAAACAAATCACACACACAAAGCAAGTTTTAAAAGTAAGCTAAGAAATTAAGAGCCCGTAGATAACTACAAATGAAAAGGATGCTAACACTTTCCCTTTTCATAACTTATCCCCCAAACTAAAAATCTATCAAAGGTCTTTCCTGTTCTTTTCACCTTTCCTAAATATTGGATAAAAGAAAAGTCAATGGCGACTTTTGCTAACCGCAACATTTGCAATAAAACCAAAAGAGTCAGTTCTCCCACTGTATTACAGAACTGGCGACTTCACTGGGGACTTACTTAAAAAAATAGGGGTTACCTTAAGAGTTAGATCACTTTACTTGCTTTTATTGTATGCTTTGTCTGATTTACTTTAAGGGTTCATGCTTGGTGTGATACGGTGGGAGAACTGACTTGAGGGTTTTGCGTTTGATCGCAAATGTTATGGTTAGCAAGAGTCGCCGCCGACTTTTCTTTTATCCAAAAGGAAAGGTGAAAAAGCACAAGAAAGACCTTTGAGATTATTTCTTGAGTTCGGGGGGTAGATTATGAAAAGGGAAGGTATTAGAACCCTTTTCATCCATGGTTTTCCATGGGCTCTTAGTTACTTGCTAGATCACTTGCTTTTGTTTGAAATTGTGCTTTGTGTGGTTTTTGAAAGTATTTTGTAAAGATGCCATTGTTTAGGCAATCTTTATAATGATTCTTGTTTGTAAGAATGTATACGAAGATGTTTGATCTTTTGAAAATGTTTTCAATGTTTGTAAGATGTTTGAAAATGTGTGTGATTGTTTTTGAGAATAGCAAGGATGTTTGTTTAAGATTGAGCAAGTAATTTGGAGCAATCTACCTACTCAAATGTCTTTCTTGTTTATTTTCTTTTTCTTTGATATTGTTGTCTTACCATTGATTTAGAAAGCAACCCTATCTTTGGATGTAAATGGGAAGGGGGTGGATCATCATATAACCATGATTAGCAATATTGCAAGGTATCTTAACATTCTTTTTTGAGGGACTAAGATCATTTGTAAGGCAACTTAGATAGCGTCATCGAGGGACTATGATCTTGTATTTGTTTATTTTTGCTAAGATACCTTACATGCGTAATATGGCCATTTTGTATAAGGCAACCAAGTAGGATAACCCTAGGGGTGCTTGTGTGCAAGTGTATTATTTTCATGCTTGATTTTGTCTTGAATTAGGGTTTGCTATTTGGTTGGTTTTAATCTTTCCATACAAAACCTAATTACTAGCATTGTATATATGAAAGCGATAAATTGTGAAATTTAAAATTACTACGCTATTACAATACTTGTGGGAGGGGGTATACAATTTATGAATGGGGATTGCAATAATATAAACTTAATTAATCTATTACAACTAAATTGAATATGTACAAATAATTGAAGAAATATATAAAGTACAAATGCAAATGGAAAGAAATGATTTTTGTGTTTGGATTTTTATATGAAAGAGGTTTTAACCTAAACCTAATTAGAGAAAAAATAATTTAATAAAAATTAACTTAAATTAGTTAAAGAAAAGAAATTAATTAAGAAAAGATATTTGAGTAAAACCCTAATTCTATTTAGTGGATTAAAAGAAAATAAGTTTAAAGAAAAAGTTTTTTTTGTATTTTTGTCTTGAAAGTAATATATGATGTTGTAAAATATTTTTGGCCTTTTTTATAATAAAATAAATATATTTAAATAAGTATAAAAGAAAATAAATAATAACCTAGTTTTAATTTAATTTACAAGATAATTAGTAAAGATAAATAAAGTATAATGAATAAAAATAATTTTTTGTGTGAGAAAAATATTTAAATTATGTCAAAACATAAATCTACTATTTTTATATTTTTATAATTTTTTATTATTTTAGAAAATATATTTAAAAGAAAAAATGAAATAAATAAGTAAATAAAAATAAATGGGTCAGAGGGTGTCAAAAGTAGGCAGGGAGGTGAGCTAGCAAATAAATAAAAACAATGCCAGACCCAAAGGGCCTAGCGCCTGCAAAAACAACATGTTAGAAAGTCAAAAAATGTAAAAATGTAAAAATTGGTCACATTGGGGCTCGAACCCAGGACTAAGGAATGAACAAGCGCGCGTTTTACCACTGGGGTGGCTATACATCCGTTTATATAAACAAAACCATAAATATGTAAGGAAAATCAAGTCCTGATGACTTCATCTTCAACCTCCAGCCGGTGTACCTGTAACTTCTTCATTTCTAAAAAAAAATGGAAGATGACAAAATGAAAGTTGTTGCATTCTTTCTTATGAATCTAACCATGTAAATAACTAAAGCTAAAAGTCAAAGATAAATGAGAATTTCTCTGGCCCTAATTTGAACCCTAAAAATTTCAGAAACTTCAACTCTAAAATTCTCTAAGCTCAGGCCATATAAATGTAAACTATGGATATGTACAGCTTCGTGGCAATGAGGTCTACATTTTATTTTCACAAATGCAAGCCTAACAATGCCTAAGTAATGAGATAGAAGTTCCAAAAAAATACCTCAAAACTGGAAATCGTGAAATTTAAATGAGCTTGTTTCAGGTAGTGCTGATGACCAGGTTAGCTTCCTTGGACCTCTAGGAAGCTAATGCAATGGCTGGCTTGAACTGTAGGTGGCTGGAATGGTCTGGAGAAGTCAACTTGCACACTCTGTTTTTTGGTTATGGAGGAAGGTGAAGATGGTGTTACAGTTCCAAAACAAGGACATGGATGGACTATATTTGAGGTATAGAAGCTTTGCAAATGAATTTGAGGAAAAACACACGAGGGAAATGAGAGATACAAGTTCAAGGTTAGAACTATGTATAAATGGTGTTTTTGAGCAGATTTAAGGTTTTTGAGTGTTTGAGATAGTTTCAGGGTATTAGCATTCGTGTGTTATCTTGCAAATAGTGTATGTACTTATAGGCAAGAGGTTTTGAGGCTTGAAACAACTCAGAAATTGAAATCACATGTTATGGTTTGATTACTTGATTTTGAAGCAAAGTTGACAAACATGGTTTCA